ATTGGAAGAAGGGATAGTCTTTTGTGTTATTTCTGTCAGGAGCTTCCTGAAACCTTGATTCATATATTTTGTAAATGCACAGTAGTTGCTCCAATGTGGAAAAAGCTCGCAGATTATATTGATAATATGACTAAGGAGACAACACTGTACTTCGGGTCGCTCATATATTTGGTATTGATATTGGTGGCAGGCATGATGTATGTATCAATCTTTTCTCGAACTGATTTTGATTTTGTTCACATTTGACATTTTACAGATCAAAATGAGATGTAATGACCCATCGAAAGTCTAATCTTAAATTTAACGACCGTCGAGACCCCAGACCGTACAGGCAAACGATCAAGATGATTTCCAACAAAACATAACAAATCAATTAATAATCATTTAAAACAATTAAGGAATACATAGTGGAAACAGAGAGGTCCACTAAAAAGCAATGCTTGTACAATTGTGGACCCCTCAAATGAAAGTTAGGAATAATGTGTAATCAAATTAACAAATTCGTAACTACAAAAAGGAACTAGAAATAGGAAGAACAAAAAAGGGGATGCATACAGAGATGAGAACGGGACAAACAAGTACTTTACATGACAAAGATAGAAGAACACGGTCACAATACAAAAAGTAGGAATGCCAAAAAATAAATGAGAGATCGGGGGTACAGAAAATAATACAAAAGGATGAGCTGCATGTGGGGTAGTTCAGAATCTGTCCGGTTCTTTATATTCCCTACATACTTGATTCAAGCCGCTGAAGGTGGCCTTATCAACGAACTCATAATTATGCTCACGAGCCCAGCATGAGAAGCGTCCAGACAAATACGTAGCACCGAGAAAGCGCAAGATCACGCGACCTTTCGTAGATTTGCCGAATTTTTTTTTTTTTACTAGGTTTCGGGTAAATTGGACAAGACTATTTGTAGACGAAAGGGGTTTATTTCACAAATATTACCCTCGACATTTTTTGAATAAAGTGTCATGTTTTCACAAAGGCTCGGGTAACACCACCATCCGACCGCACGTGATGACGCGATAACTTGAAGGTAGCCTAAATAAGAGCACTTTCAGTCTTACAAAACGAAATTACAGTCCCCCCCCCCCCCCCCCCCCCCCGCGCGCCGACAATCACACAAAATTGGTAATAAATTCCTTGTGGATGATTCTGGCTGGTAGAAATGGAATCGAAAGAATAATTTTGATGTTTTTTCCTCTTTTTCCAATTAAATTGCAAAAATGTATGTAAAAGGCCCTAGTTAATATAATTAAAATGACTCACAGGGGCGCAGCATGGTTCCACCTACTAAGAGGGCAACAGTGTGAAAGGGGGATTACTGGCTTGGTAAAGCTCAAGACAACAAGACTGTCGATTTAACTGAGGAGGGGGTTACACCATCTTCTTTGTACGTTTAACACGATCACACAGACTTAAAATAAAATCAAGTCAAGGGCAATTTCAAAAGTCTATATTGCCTAAAGATATTAGTTCAAATTTTGTGATATGATGTTAATGGAAGCTCTATGTTCGCATATAGCCTACCAGGCTATTGTCATGTTTATACGTTGATCTGTTTAAAATCTTTGCGATCGCATTGTTTCCTTCTTTCTCTCCCACCCCCTTTCTACGCCGGCTTTGATTTCATACACTCATTATGCTACCAGCAAAAGTTTAAGGAATAAAGCGTTAATTAAGTTCAAGTAAAAAGGTTGAAGCTTTGCATCGCGTGATCCTTTTGATTGGCGTGTTGAGGTCAAGAGATATCTAGACCCTTTATGATGGCGCCAATTCGATCTTGAAGACTTCCGGGATATCAGCTGAAGGTTGTGAGGTTGTAATCATAACACCTCTTAGTATAGAAACCTCGAAACAATATAGACAATCTACTTGTTGACATGTAGTTCAAGTGAACTTATCCTCCAACGCCTGACTTTCTTTTTAGTCTTTCTCCATCTTCTTGGCTACAATCGATTTCTTATTTAGCCACAAGAAATATATTTGCATATGCTGATGTGCTTACAGTAACTTGAATGTCTTTATTTGTAATGAGCTTTGCAACACAATCCTTGCTCTCCTGATGTTCGCCTCCTTCTCTATTCTTAATTATTTAATGTACTGATCTCTCTATTTACCATTATTTATCTTTATTACCAAAGATGAGAAGGGTGTAAATTCAAATTTCAATTTCATGTTATTTACAGCAACTCAAAACAATATTTCATTTACCCACTTATAGTATTGACTATAGAATCATGTTTGGATTACATAATTGGTCATTTTCACGCATTTCATATCGTGATAAGATTACTGAAATTGCCTATAATAGGTTGATTCCTTCTTTTTTAGAATGTCTTTGTGATCGTGTTCGAGACAAAGACCAAATGAAATTGAACAATTTTTTCTGTGAGTGTGACACGTCCTCATTTTTTATAGGTCATTTGGTTAATTTTTCTTTCGGTCAAGGACGTAGACAATGACAGATAATGAAAAATTGAAGACACCCGCAAAAAGCTAAGAAAAAAGAAGAAAAAAGTCGTTCATGGTCAACTTGAAAAGTTGAAGATGTTCGTGACCGCTATACCGATCGCCTCTTATCCGTCAATTCAATCCCCTATAGTAACGTTGCTGGTATTTAATTTGATGGATAAATACGAGTGTTCTGAATTCTAACCTTAAATCAACATTGGAGTGAGTTTCAGAGGGTTGTCAAAAGGTGAGTCGCTCGTAAACTTTAAGAGTTAATAATAAACTACTGAATTTAGGAACCTGCCATAACCTGTGCTTCATGTTAGATATCACTAAATAACTGAGTTCCAGTTTTTCTATTTAATAGTCAATATTTGATACTACGTAGCACTCGTATATCCACTACGCAGGGTGCTCAAGGCGCTCAAATATTACGAGAAAGCAGCTAGAAACCCCCGGCCCCCTCCACTCCGGGGTCGGAGGGACCGCATGCGTGTTCCCAAAATGTCCGGTAAATGGGTACTTTTCACGCACCAAACATGCATATGCGTACCCTAAATAACACTGAGTGTGGGGAGGGGGGGACCGGGAGAAACCCCTCTTTCAACACTATACTTTTGTTTTATCTTTTCTTGCAGATTTCATATATTTACTAATGTATTTATTTATTTATATATCTAATTGATACAGAAAACTTTTATCGGTTTGGGGATAATCATATAATGCAATTGTGAAGCTTCTCCCAACCATGAATTCTGTGGCAAGCTTTCCTCCACTCCTGTTGACTTTCTCAAACTTATGCCTAGATTACATTTGCCCCGGGTGCCGTACGATACATTGGTCTACGATTTTACGTGCGATTTGGGGGCACCGTAGCAGGCTACGGGCTGCGATATTTGTGTTTACATTATCTACAAGTATCGTGCCATTTCTTGTATTGGCCCTCGGGGGCAAGCCGGGGCAAATCAGTACAGAGGCTGCTTGGAGATTGTACGAAATCGTTGCAATTTCCGTGCATTAGTTGTGCAGTCTCCGCAGTCTCCGCAGTCTCCTCACGGAAATCGTACAGAGCACGTACAGGTTCCGTGCAGAGGTTGCGCGGAGAAGGCGCGGTGACCGTGCAGCCGCCGTGCCATCTTGAGCGTTTTTTTGCCCCCCCCCCATGTTTACCGAAAAATCGTGAGTTTGCTGCACGATCAGCGCGAGTCCTCCGCGCGATTCCTGGGCGGGAATCATGCAATGCCACCTAGGACATGTCTACGGGTTACGGGCTTACGATTTTTCAAATTTGTATTACTTTTCGCGAAACGAAATCATAAAGGCTGCGGAGCCCGTTAAACTGTACGAATATCTCACGGCCGCCTCCCGCGTCCGCATGGAGGCCGCACGGAGGCCGCACGGAAAAGGGGATACGGGCAGGATACGGGCTCCGTAGACTAATCGCAGGCCAAATGTAATCCAAGCATAAGTGATCGGTCACACGTTTTGTCAGTGCTTCCTAGTGTCTTGCGATCACTGGACCACATACAGGTGTCCAGAGTCCCTGCGTAGTGCAGGATTAATCCTCTAAATTGGTATTTACTCTTTCACTTTTCTTGACCAGAAGTTGCTTTCAAAGTCATTAATGAGGGCATCATCCCATCCAATATTATGTGCTGTGTTGAGGGCGTGTCAGCTAAAGCTGAATGGTAATAACTCAATCTGAGGGCTCTTTTGTTTTCTTTTATTCGCTAATTAAGAGTTTTGTCAGTTTCCCCCAACATAAGAATTGTTGCAATCTGCGCAAGTAATCTTGTACACAATGCCTGTCTTTACCTTTATTGGAACTTGGTCTTTCGAATTGACCAATCTGCTTCTTAGTGTGTTAGGGCTTCTGAAGGCAACACTAATATGTATACAAAGTGTAACCTCGGACAATGATGCACTACAGAGTGAATTCCAACTTATTGAAAAGACGCTTATGTCATGTGGATACCCAGCATAGATGAGACAAAGAGCGAAGGACAGAATAGGAAGTAAGACCCCCCCCCCCAAAAAAAAAAGGGAAACGAAAGAAGTTATCAAAGAGTAGTCCTTCCTTTTGTTAACACTACCTGTATACCCTCTCGCTTGAAACGAGCATTCCAAGACAAGGATATTAGTGTTGTCTTCAGAAGCCCTAACACACTAAAAAGTAGGTTGGTCCATCCAAAAGGCCAAGTTCCAACAAAGGAAAAGACAGACATATTGCAACAATTATTATGTTGGGGGAAACTGACAGAACTCTTAATGAGCGATTAAAAGTACACAAAAGAGCCCTCAGATTGAGTTATTACCATTCAGCCTTAGCTGAACAAGCCCTCAACACAGGACATAATATTCGATGGGACGATGCCCTCATTATTGACTTTGAAAACAACTTCTGGCCAAGAAAGGTGAAAGAGTCAATATTGATTAAGAGGTTTAAGACTTCACTAAACAGGGACTCTGGATATCTATTGTCACCTATCTGTGGTCCAGTGATCGCAAGACACCAGGCAGCGCTAAGAAAAATGTGTGACTGATCACTTAGCTTGAGAAAGTCCACAGGAGTGGACGAAAGCTGGCCCACAAAATTCAAGATTGGTTGAAGCTTCAAAATTACATTATATATATATATCTAATTGTTAATTTGCAATCAACCGTTACCAGGTATGTCAGGAAGAATAAATTTAACGACTAAAGAATTTGGATTACAGATTTCGATAAAATCATTTTTGGTGAGCATTCGCGAATGCGAATGATATTGATGCTAATGATGCTAATGATGTCGTTCTAATTATATTCAGGTACCAGGATGGCGACAGCTAAGGTGGCTTTGGTGCTTCTCCTTGTCAAGATGATGATTGGTAAGCTGTTGTTCTTTTTTGATAATCTTGCTAGTGATTTGACATTCGATAGTTGCTAGATGAAAATAGTGATAATAATGATGATAAAATGTTATGATAATAATAAAAATAATGATAACACCAATACATGGTACTGAATTAAGAAATATTATTACCAGAATGTGTATAATATTTTCTTGATGAGAAATCGTCATGAAGTGATCATCGATCAAACAAAGTATAAGCTTTTAATATTTTTGAATTGAGCTTTTCCACCCTTTAAAATCCTCTAGATAAATTAGAGTTATTCAGGAAATCGGAATATTGATTGGTACTACATGTATAAAACTATAGTCGAATAAGATCAGTGAATAAAGACAAAGTAAATGCTTTTACCTTGCACTCATTAGTGTAAACCGCAAGAAAAACAGAACAACGTATTCTACAACCATTTTTCGAATCATTTTGATACATAAGATTTCCCTTTATTTTAATAATGGCACTTGAAGCCCCACTGTCCTACTTAGCTACTTGCTTCCTTCATATAGAAAACTTCCCAGATCGGTGCCTGTTGGTCCCCCACGATCCTCTTTTTCTTATGTTAATTGAGAGCTGAGGTGATCAGATAGCCACCTGTCAGTGACCTCGCTGTGTGGTCTAATCCATTCTGGCCAAACTAGTACAGCCGGCCTTAAATCATTATCCGATAATGTTGAGACGAGGAAATCTTCCATAATATTGTAATATATATGAAAGAAATTGAATTTAGTTTATTAATAAAGTCAATATAAACTTTAAGACACATTGTAGTGTTACCTCGGGACGCGTGTTGCTTGGCAATTAACGTAATGCTTTCTGCCAGACTACCATTCTCATGTAACTCATAATACTTTATTTCTATTCAATATTTCAGCCTCATCATCGCAAGAACAGTTGGGAATGCAAGATGGACGGATCACGGACGCACAGATCACGGCTAGTAGCTGTTATGATCAAAATCATTGCACAGACCGCGCAAGACTCAACCAGCCAAGGAGTGAGACATTTTAGAATAGATGATTGATTGTTTAATTGGTGTATGTAATATGTACCTGGTTGTATTTATGTTTGTAAGGAGTGTGTATGTGTATGTGTGGGGTGCGTGCTAGTCCATATTTTGTCCGTTGTTATTTATATTATATTCTTCAACTATCTTTGTCCTTCTCCCTTACACGCATCCAATGTAGATCGCGCGACCCCCGAAGATGCACCGTCGAGGGTAAGAATGAAAAAGGACTGTCTCAGGTTTAGCGTATTCCAAAGACTACCGAAAAATATTAACTGAAGATTACTTTTTCCTACACTCTATAGATAGACAGAAGGGAAGGGGACAGGATGTAAATGGATCAGTCTTGAACATTTTCTTGTAAGCTATCATTTAATACATGGAAAAATCAAAATTCAGCAAGAACAAAAATTTACAAAAATAAGAAAAGAGAAGGATGAAATGCGGAAGCTATAGGAGATGTTATGATATGAACAACTTACAGGCCTGTCATTTAATTTTTCGATGGATGTAGCCAAGTTGATTTGGGGCGCCTTGAAAAAAGGAGAAAGATGGCATTCCATGGGAAACATGTAAGGCCATTGAAATTAAAGGCCGCATGCAAGACCATTCGTTAAAAACGCATTTTATGTCCACTGCAACAGTTAAGATTACCTAAGGATAACACTGCTTCTCAAATTTTCAGCTAGTTCCAAGACGGGCGCATGGAGTGCTCGAACCAACACCCCGGACCAGTTCATCCAAGCGGACTTGAGGCAGTTGCACGAGGTCTCTGGGATCATGAGCCAAGGTCGCAATGGTTACACCCAATGGGTCACTTCATTCAGGGTGCTGTACAGTATCGATGGACTCACCTGGACTGCTGTACAGAACTCGATCATGGCTGGCAGTAATGTAAGTTATACACCGGACCTACATCATCATGGTGGAAGCCCCCACCCCCTCGCGGGCAAAACAGGCAAAAAGGAGAGAGGGATGGAGAGAGAGAGAGAGAGAGAGAGAGAGAGAGAGAGAGAGAAATAAAGAGCATGATGAAAGCGAAAAGAAGATAACATGACCCTTCATTTGATTACCTTCAAGTTTCAAGTTTCAAATTTCAAGTTTTTATTGTTCCACATTTTACAAAAAATATAGACGTAAATATCAAATAAAAAGTTATACAATACAATTGTAGTCTATATGTGCACGTCTCAATGATTCTCAATTCATATAATAGATTAAGTAGAATGTGAGGAACTTATTAAAAAGCAGTGCTTGTATAATTATAGGTTCCTGGAAAAATAAGTAATGTAATTCGATGAAGATGAAGTCATGTATAGAGAATAATAATGCATTAGCACCGAAACCCAGAGTCACCCGGTTAAAATGCGTAGTCACCCGATCAATTCAGTTAGCATAAACTAATTTGTTCATATATATACCAAAAAAAACGGAACAAACATAATTAATTAATAATTAAGATTAGCATTGATGAAAAAAAGACTGGGGAGGGCAAACAAAATATATATTAGATGTAAGAATTTAAAGATTGAGAGATGTTATCTCACATGTCATCCACCTATAAATATTGGAACCTCTCCCCTTACACCAGTGTTAGTTACTCCAATGTCTAGCTCTTTTATTGTATATATTATCACGGTTATATACTTAAAACATAATTTACCATTATCACTGGTCTGAATCATGCCATAACATGTTTTTTTTTCTTCAAATCTTCTATTTATTATGCATTAGTTAGTTATCAACTAGTTTCCACACAAATATGTAGAATCATCATATAAGCTGTCCTGAAGATGAACTTGAATACCAATTTTCTTTCCTAGGTCTTCAGTGGTAATGACGACAGGGACACCGTTGTGACAAATGACTTTTCTTCCAACATTGTAGCCCGGTTTATCAGGATTGAACCACTGACTTGGACGAACCACATCAGCATGAGATTTGACATTCTTGGCACTGTTGCATCAAGTAGGTCCACTGACTCATTTTTATAATGGCTACTACTGTTAAATGCTTTATAAATTCAGTCCAAAAGGTGTAATGTAAAGATAGAGAATATATATGATGATAATGATATAAAAGCAAAGTAACAACAATTCTGGATTTTTATGGCGTTTCATATACATGTAACATACTGTCTCTATATAAGTGATTTTTAGATAATTCCCGGGCCATTGAATTTCAGCGAAATGTGCATCATCTCAACTCTCTAGGGAATATTTCTACCATATGGTCACCATGAGGGCATATGGCAATCCCTAACAAAAATGTCAACCTACCAGGTCCCCATTTCTCTCCTGGATATTGAATGGCAAATGTAGATATGCCATGTCGGGGGGTCGAACCGACGATATTTGCATTTCAAGTCAAGTGCTAAAACCACTCGAGTATGACACCTCAAGGGGGGGGGGGGGGGTATAATGGCACAAGTTGACAAACTGCAGGAATGATTGGTTTTAACAAATTATTTAAATTAAAGACAACATTGTATAATTATAACCACATCATTCTAGATGCTTGTTAGAGGTATGTTTTTATCATGAAGGTGACGATCTCTTTCTTTTGGATTGTCCAAGTTAATTGGACTGGACTCTGGATCAGTTGGTAGTGTCCCACATTGTATATATTTATTTGAATGTTAATGTAATCAGTGCGTCCCAGAAAAAACGAAACCGAGAATTATCTATGTTTTATCATAACTTAATCACAATTATTATTAATAAATGACACATATTTGTTTAGAGCCTCCTCTGTCATTTGATGCAACTCATCAAAACTCAACTCATTTGACGCATGAGTGATTAAAATCAATTCGAAGAGAGTGAACCAGAACCGGAATTGACAAAAGACTTAACTCCGTTTCATTGACAATCAGCCGTAGACGAAAGACTTCATGCATGGCTGATTGTCAACGAAACGGAGTTAAGTCTTTTGTCAATTCTGCTCGTTGCTACTGCAGGCAGCCAGTGAAAACGAATTCGTTTGATAAAATTATGGAAGCACTACTTTAAACAAACAGAACTTTGTCATTCCTTGCTCATATTTCCTGATTGAGGTGTCATATGAAAGGGCAGAAACTCAATGTTCTAGAAATGTAGTTTTCTCTTTGAAATTCAGATACCGTCCGCCAAATTACTTTTTGGTTACCTCTCTTCAAGTTCATTTTAATCACTCATGCATCATACGAGTTGCATCAAATGAAAGAGGAGGCTCTAAGCTTTACAAATATGTATCATTTATTGGTTATAATTGTGATTAAGTTATGATAAAACATCGATAATTCTCAGTTTCGTTTTTTCCGGGACGCACTGTATATCTCACTACCCTTTTTGTCTTCTTTAGGGGCTATTGAAGAGAGGGGTACGTGAGTATTATCGATGTGACTTATACCACTTTATCGATAAGGCTCGACAAAATAAACATCATCTTTTATTTTCTCTCTCTTCATTTGAACAGAGATTGAAGGGCTCCAGAAAGCTTTGGGTATGAAAGATGGGCAAATTCCTGACAGCGCCATCACATCCTCAACGCAGTACGATGGCAACCACGGACCAGAACGATCACGTCTGGACACAGTCGCTGGTGAGTTAAGAAAAGTGTTTAAGCTTCTTTTCTTTTTCCTTTTTTGTGGTGATAATACAATGGTGTTAGCTTGCCCATGGATATCATTAATACTGTTTTGTGATGTGATCGATGGTAAGAAAAAGGTATGGTAGCTGAGCTTACACAAATAGGTCATGGTAATAGGATTGTCAGTTCATACAAATTAATTATATTACCCCTGTCATTTTGTATTACCCCTGTCATTTTATGACAGGACATGGTAGATACTGGATTTGATCAACATTAATGCTATTACGATGGGATGTAATGTAATCATATATAATACAATATGGTCTTTACCCAGGGTAGCCTCATCAATATTCATTTTCATTCTATAAACAGGACCTGCAATTATTGTTTTCCCAAACTAATGAGCTTCCTATTTTACACACATGGATCAAGAAGGACAAATGTGGGTCAAAAGTATTGCCAAAGGATGAAAGCACTGCAGCAAGGATTAAACCTAGGACCTTTCATATCATCTGTATGAAGCAAGCATGGCATTAACTCTGTTGGGGTATATGAGCAAATGCCCTGTTGGTGCTGAGCAGATTATATGAAAGTAAACAGCCCTGCTTCAGTAGTATACTATACTCGTACCTTGCCATTATTGTAATCCTGTGAAAACGTTTTTTATTAACTTTTCAAAAGTCAAGGGTGATTGACAGTACTCTTGGTTTCATAACAGGTGGTGGTATGAAAAGGGTGTGGCCAGCTCCTACCAATCCTCTTATGCCTCAGTCACACCTTTGCGTATTTGGATTGCGTATTGCTGCGTATTTATGGCAAGCCGTTTTAACATTTATTCTTGATATCAAGAATTACCATTGCTTTACAACAGAGAATAATTTCTTGACATCAAGAATTCATTTCTTGATATCAAGAAATAGGAATAAATGCTATAACGACTTGCCATAAATACGCAGCAATACGCAAGCCAAATACGCAAAGGTGTGACTGAGGCATATTACTCCCTTGATTTTTATAATGGATTTGGTCAGCTCATATCAACATGATGCTATTATATCTTTAGGTCTAATTATAAAAAGGCATAGTCAACTCATATACGTAGATTTGATACTATTCCAATTGTGGTTTTATGACAGGTGGTGGTAGGACAGGGGCTTGGTCAGCACGCACCAACGACGTCAACCAGTGGTTGCAGGTGGATCTCAACAGCTTCTACATCATAACTGGAGTTATCACACAAGGTCGACAGGATACTGACCAATGGGTGACCGCTTTCAAGGTGTCCTCCAGTGATGATGGCACAAACTGGAATATCATCCAGGCTTGTGATGGAAATGATAAGGTAGTTACAGCTCTACTGAGAAGGAATATTGTAAATTTTATGCTTCAATGACGATTGCTTCATGGTCAATTTTCTACACTAACCAGACATTTTCAAGCCCCACCTTTTTTAGGGAAGTTATAAACAAGTATTATCTTTCAAATGCAGTTGGAATTTAACTTTTTCATTTTTTGGCCTGCAAATGGGACATAGTACCTTTAACAGCATTACAATCGGGACGTATTTATATGCCACGTGTTAGCGTCGTCCCATAATCATCTTTCCGTGTACAGTGCTTCTAACTTTACCAAGACTGTGCCAAATTTCTTATCCTTTTGATGATTCCAGAACCTTGTAGTACACACCAATACTTATATGCCAGATGATCAACCTTTTCTGATCGATTCCACACCGTTTCCTTCACAAAGCCTTCTTTCAAAGACAAATGAGAAATATCAGTGACAAATCTGCTGATAACCAACCAGAAGCAAGGATTTAATTCAGTAGCTTATAACAACAACTGTCATTTGTCACTGATGACAAGTTTTGTGAAACGCCCCCCCCCCCCCAGAACTCGACTTTATCTTTAAGAGTAACTAAACGCCATCAACATTTTTATGGTTGCGTCTACAGGTCTTCAGTGGAAACACCGATCGCAATAGTAAGGTAACAAATACGTTTGATCGACCAATCGTTGGCCGTTTCCTACGCATTCATCCCACCACTTGGAATAATCATATCAGTATGAGATTGGAAATTCTCGGAAAAGGATCGGTGGCAAGTAAGTTATATATCAGATTATAGACAAAACCTCTCATAATGCCAGTGGCGGATCCAGGGAGGGGGGGGGGGGGTCTCGGGGGGCCCGGGCCCCCGCCCCCGGGGAAGCCTTTCTTTTTGGGAGATGGGCCCCCTCCCATGGCGCTCAAGGGGGGAGGTGCGATTTTTCAAATTTTCGAGGGCCTAAAATGAGCCACTGAGCTAATTATTGGCCGGCTGTTTCGCAACTAAATATTTTCTCACGAATTGGGCCCTCTGCCGCCAAATGGATCCGCCCCTGCTCAATGCTCACTAGTCCAAATGAATTTTGAAATCATACAAGTGATTGGATCTGAGCATCTGGCATCACCATTCTGGAATATTCTGGTGAAAGTTTGCAGCCCAGTGTATGATAATCATTACACCAGTTGAGGGCAATCTTGAATTCTGGTACTAAACGGACGAACAAATATTCAAACAAAACTTAAAATGAGTGTTCAAGTCTACAAACAAATGATATCTCCCAAAGAAATTCATTCGAAATGTAAATAAGAGCAAAGAAAAATGATTAAAATAGTCCCGACCAACATGCATAACTGTTTGTTTTCATTAAATATTATTTTCATCAGGTTTTCATTAGTCTGTTTTTATATTTTTTGATTATTTAAATAAACTTGTCTATATGATAAGCAATGCAGAATTGCTTTGAGATAAATTTCCAATATTAGCCTATAACTTTTATTTCATCTTTTTACTATCAGGTAACCGTTTTGAGCCAATGAAACTTGGAATGGAAGATGGCCAAATTGCAGACAGCCAACTCTCTTCAAGCACATGTTATGATTCAAATCACTGCGTCGACAGGGCAAGGCTCAATCAAGTAGCAGGTATGGTCATCAACATGACGATTACATGATTTGGGTTCATTTTCTTTTAATTACAGTGTTGTCTATTCACTTTACACAATATTTGTTTGTATTAAAGAAAATATTTCAATTGTAATACTTGGGATTCATTACTTACTTTTTTCAATATCAAAATTGTGATGTATTATGATTTCTGAACATGTAGTTTACTAAAGACCCATTAATGTTGGTTTCGATTTGACAGTTGTTTCACTTTAGTCAGTTGATTTAGCTACAGTACGAGTGTTTGCAAAGTCTTGAAGCATACATGTGTCTACCGTCAACTTATTACCTTTTAGTTATATATATATATATATATATATATATGCATAATTCAATTACCTTTTATTCAATTTAAAACAAACTTTATCAGACCTCATTCACACTTTAATTAAAGTAACATTTGTATGTTATATAATTTAATTCGGTGGTATATCATATATATTGCTTTCAGCTGGCGAATATTCCACGAGTCGAATACGAATATTCATGCTAGCTGCATGCAATATATCTGATATACCACAAACAGAAAAATTACCATTAATATACATACAAATTGAAATATAGTCCAATTTATTCAATTCAATTCAATTCAATTTTATTTCATTCAGTTAAAAAAAAAAAATTCCATATAACAACCAGCTATATAACATAAAATACACATTAAGAACATATTTGACATTTGGACATAAAATAAACTGAATAGGTTGCAACCTGAAAGGAAAATAAATAATCCTTATATAAAGGTTGACCATTTGTTATAATAAAAAAAAATATGAAATATATCCGTTACTAAACATTATACTATACACAAATCAAGACAACAGAGATACATACAACAAACTAATAAAATATGTCTTGAATTTAAATGATTATTGCAGTTTATCTAAAAGAAATTTCTTATACCTACGTTTAAAAACATTTACACTAACAGAATTATGAATATAATGCGGAAGAGTGTTCCATAAAAAGGGTCCTTGGAAAATAATTATTTTTGGTTTAGTACTGTATGCGTCAATGGCAAGTGAAATTGTTTAGCATTTCTAGTATTATAACTATGAATATTACACTTTAAAATAAACAATTTGGAAATAGAATCAGGAATAAGATTGTGGTGACATAAATATATAAAAACACCTACTTGTAATAAATATACATCTCTATATTGCAATGTGTTTAATGAGTAAAATATTGGATTGGTATGGGCAAGAAAAGAAGAATGATTAATAATTCTTATTGCACGTTTTTGTAATTTGAACACTCTTCATAAATTAATGCAGCATTGCCCCATACAATAATAGCATAATGTAAGTAAGGGTACACAATTGCAGAGTATATCATCTTGAGTATAATTTTAGGGTGAGATTTCAATCTGTACTTGACACCAATACTTTGAGATAATTTTTTGCAGATGACACCAATATGATTAGACCAGGAGAACCTATCATCAATAATAACACCCCAAAACTTTGCTGAAGAAACTCTCTGAATGTTTACATTACCTAGTGTGATTGTTATTGAGTCTTTATTTAGTTTCTTTTTGGTAAAAATCATAAAAATTGGTTTTCTTTTCATTAATGGAAAGTTTATCAGCGTAAAACCATTGAACAGTTAATCCAATCTCAATATTAAATGTAGTTTCAAGAGTATGTTTGTTTTTGTGTGAAAGGAAAATACTGGTGTCAGCTGCAAACAGAATACATTTTAACATTTTTGAAGCATTGACAATATCATTTATATACAAAATAAATAAAAGTGATCCAAAAATGGAACCTTGTGGCACTCCACATCTAATTAGCTGTAACTGTGATTTGTTTTTATTTAATGCAACAAATTGTTTTCGATTTGATAAATAACTTTTAAATATTTTCAATGTTATACCCCTAATGCCATACATATGCAATTTCTCCAACAAAATACTATGGTCAGGCATGTCAAACAATTTAGTGAGATCAAGAAATAAGCCAATTGTTATTTCTTCATTATCTATTGAACTTCCCACTTTATGAACAAAATCTATCAAAGCTGAAGAACTTGAGTGTCCTGCTCTAAATCCATACTGGTTATTATTTATAATATTGCACTTTGTAATACAATGTAAAAGTCTGGTATAAATACACCTTTCAAAAATTTTGGAAAAAACAGGTACAACAGAAATTGGACGATAATTAGACATCACTTCTGGTGGACCACTTTTAAAAATGGGTGTTACACGAGCTATCTTTAACGATGTAGGAAATTCTCCACATTTAAGGCATTGGTTGAATATTTCACTGAGATGTTCACTGATCTTATGTATAATCGGTTTTATTACTTTAATATCTATTTCATCATAACCTGTACTAGAATTATGCTTAAGTTTGTCTACAATATCTATAATTTCTTTACTAGTAATAGGTTTAAAAACTGCAGTTTGATCATTTTGAATTACATAATTTTTAAATTTATGTAATCGAATCGATCTTTATTACTTAGCAAAATAATACCAATAATGATGCACTACAATTTTCCAATCCTACAGTGTTTCGACTAATCCTAAAGCAAACAAGTCCAAATGAAAGATGATCCAAGTTTTAAATATAAATTTGTGTTTCAACGCAATACTAGCAATGCATTTTACATCATACAGGTCTTTTGTTCAGAGTTACTTTTGATGGTAGTTCATTGTCACATTACAGCGATTGAAGCCAGCATGCACATGCAGCTCTTGGTCATGCGTGTAATATTGTAAGAATATTGCAAGCTGATTCGCCATCGGTGGAGTGACATATTATACGTATTTGAGGGAATCAAATACATGATTTAATTCTCTGTGAAAAGGAGTTCGTATGTTTAATAATTTGTAATATTGGTCAAAAAATACACTGGCAGGGAGATGTTTGTTCATTCAAATAAAGCTCAAGTATATGTTTAATTTACTTGGCCTAGGCTGAGCAACTTTTGTTGTTAAATCTATATAATTTTTATTCTTTTAAGCTTTCCAATTTGCATTTACTCGTCAGATTAAAAATGGAGAATGAACAGATAGCTTGAATGAACAAATAAATATAAACAAGAACGAAATGATTAACCATTCAAGTCCCTTTCTCTTTGAAGGTGGTGGAAAGACTGGTGCATGGTCTGCACAAACCAACGACCACTCTCAATGGATTCAGGTGGACCTTCTTTCTGACTATAAACTCAGTGGGATTGTGATTCAGGGTAGATCAGATTACGATCAATGGGTGACTAGTTTCAGGTTTCAGTACAGACCAGATGGACAATCAGCGTTGATAGATGTAGTGGATGACAATGGAGCTATCGTTGTAAGTAATTTTATTTTCGAGTGTTGTAGCTAGTGTGTTTGTGGGTGGGGGCGGAGGGGGGGGGGGAAGATAAGGGTAAGATGAGGAAGGAGAATGTGGAAATATACAGACGTATTGACCCCATAATGCACCCAATGTATACCACTAACCAATGCATGGCCTTCATCAGGCGCGCCGGAAGCAGTTTGGGATTGGGGGGGGCAAACATTCCAGGGGGCTCACCTTCCAGGGGCAGTGACGTAATGAGAAAAAAAGTTCGGAGGGGGGGGGGGGGCAGACGAAAAATCTGCATCACCACCAGTCTTACACGTTACATGCAGGTCCCGCGGAACGTTTTTCAAAGTGGAGTATTATCGATCAGGTAGAGCGTAAATTGGCGTGGGGTCCAGGGCATGAGCCTCGGTAGGGGGTCAAGGGGCTGAGCCCCCGGAAGCTCAGGGGTTTTAGGTAATTAATTAAGGTCAGATGAGCATCCAGGGGACCGCCTTAGGGCCCTTGGTGGGATCCAGGGGGCAGAGCCCCGGAAGCTCAGGGGTTTTAGGTATTTAATATCGGTCAGATGAGCATCCAGGGGCCCGCCTTAGGGCCCTTGGTGGGGTTCCAGGGGGCAGAGCTACCGGAAGCTCAGGGGTTTTACGTATTTAATTACGGTCAGATGAGCATCCAGGGGCCCGCCTTAGGGCCCTTGGTGGGGTCCAGGGGGCAGAGCCCCCGGAAGCTCTGTGGTTTTAGGTATTTAATTACGGTCAGATGAGCATCCAGGGGCCCGCCTTAGATCCCTTGGTAGGGTCCAGGGGGCAGAGCCCCTGGAAGCTCGGGGGGTTTGAGGTATTTAATTACGGTCAGATGAGCATCCAGGGGCCCGCCTTAGGTCCCTTGGTGGGGTCCGGGGGCGGAGCCCCCGCAAGCTCTGGGGTTTTAAGCATTTAATTACGGTCAGATGAGCATTTTTTATACCTTATTTGTGACATTGGCAGGTCATTTATTTTTTTCTCCGTCTTTCTTTCTTTTTCTCTTTAACATACTTTTTCATAAAGGAGTGGGGGGGGGGGGGGGCTCGAGCCTTGCCACTTTGCAGACCATGACATAAAGGCTTCTAAATAAGCGTATTTTCGCCTAACTGTAATTTGGGAATTTCTTATTTTCCAACAAACGCATAAAAAGGTATGACTTACAAAAAAATGGAGAAAAAATGCCGGAAAATCATGTCACAACATCAACATTTGTAAATCACTTGTTTCGAATAAGAAATACACCACCCCCCCCCTCCCCATCAGTACGCCAGCGTTCAGGGGCTCATGTCTTCTCGCCCCTATTACAAAAAAACGGACACGCTTTCCCATTCTCGCACAATATGTCCACGATATATGCGCGTATCGCTATTATAGAGACCTCCATTGATAAATACCGTGTAGGTGACATGCGCAATGTTTATGAAATTTAATTCCTGTGAACTTTCCTTTTTCTTTGAATGGAATTGTATATGTGATTTAATTCAGGTTTTTATTATTGTTACGTTCTTTTGGATTAAAAATACAAACCATGTTTACTCCTTTACTGTTTTGTTTTTTTTGGAGGGGGGGGGGGCGTTTTGGGGGGGGGGCAAAAATGCGTTTTGCCCCCCCACTTTTTTGACTGGGGGGGCAACTGCCCCCCCTGCCCCCCCACTTCCGGCGCCTATGGCCTTCATTCTTAAAGGGATAGTTGAGTTCTATTTTGAGACTGCAAATGCCTTCAAAGCGCATGGTTATTGCTCTTATTCTTATCTATGACATTACTAGTGCCCTAAAATTGCTATGAAGGCAATTTTAGACCCCAACATGTGTGAAATTTAGCCAATACGATCATACCAATGCAGCTCCATTTTCAAAAAAATACGGTGACCGTTAATTAATTATTTAATTAAAAATATCAATACATGGGCCGGCTGGTTGTGCGTAATATAACCAACACGAAAAAGCCAACAAAAAAGCCAACATCGGCATAGGCTGAAATACGACGTAAAAGGCGCTATTTCGTTTTTTTCAACGGCTTTTTCAAATTATCTAATATTTTGTGGTGGTACACAAGTATCGTTATATTTATGGATATTTCAACCGTCTCTGAACCGATTTTTATCAAAGAAGGATGATTTTGTCATTTAAATTGTATGTTCTTTCAAATTTGACACTCAGTTTTTCATTATCTCACACAAAATTATTTTGTGTAGCCAATTATGACTAGCCTACCCTTACTTGATTCTAGTATCTCATCAATTTCTTGTCCCATGTTATGTCACTGTCAGTTTAAACTGTTGATTACCAATGATGAAATGAATTTCATATATTCCTCAGTTGCTAGTCTTGCTGAGAACATAGAGCTATAGGTTAGTATGTTTCAATTGCGTTGGACCAAGACCATCCAACAAAAGGCTAAATGTATGGCTTTATTACAAAGTAATTAAAGTCAGAGACATCACAAGTAATTAACTAAATGATTTTATATTAAAAAAGCAGCACTTCCTAAATATTTTAAAGTAAAATCTTGCTGTGCTGCATGATAGAGTAGGCTAATAAAATATTCATTTAGAATTAAAAATTCAATTTGTCCAATATTTATACAAACTGAGGCCAAGTATCATGACAAGACTTGCGATGTTTTTTTCTTAGACCTTCACAGGAAATAGCGACAGAGATAGTCTAGTGATCAACATGCTTCCTCTCCCAGTCGCAGCTCGTTACGTCCGTATCCTTCCTCAAACCTGGACTAATCACATCAGCATGCGATTTGAGCTGCTTGGAGAAGGACCCATCAATGGTGAGGGCAAGCTCTGGAGGATTGAAATAAAATAAATGGCTCTTGAGGCTTTTGAAATAATACCGTTCTGAAGACATTCTCCAGAGCAGTATATCAAGTACCTTTAATTGTAATAGGCAGGATTGCTCATGGGTTTGCCAGACATTTCTCAGATTTTATAATAGAAATGGGGAAACTTCACCTTGGAATTAACTTTGCATGTCAATCATTATAGGAGAAAATGAACATTAGAACTAAGTACCGATGTGGTGCTATAAAGAGTAAATGTTATACTAATTATTTTTTAAAAGTTGAAATCATTATGTTAGGTGTACGATATCAAACTTGCTGTTTGAAAGCTATTCTGTTGCGATATAACAAATTTTGTAATTCCATATGATTCCATACTTGCCTTTTAAGTGTTGCAAGAGAAATTCGAGGAACTGTTTGATACTAGTTTGAATACCGAAATTTGATTAAAGAATTAGATAGAAGATTATTGTGCTTTTCTTAATGGATATGTTGATTCTAACATTGGTGTTTTAATATTCTCTCATGTATCATAGTTGCTTCTGTCCCCGGAAAGCTTGGTATAGAAGATGGTCGCGTAGATACTACCAGTCTTTCTGCATCATCTTGCTGGGATGGCGATCATTGCGTAGCACGATCTAGACTCAATCAGCCACAAGAGGGCGCTCTAAGGGGAGCCTGGTCAGCCTTAGTGAGTATATAGATAATACATCCACTTTCCTATCATTCAAGATTGCAAAGCTACATATACTCTCGGGCTTTCATAGTGAGCTGACTCAATTATTACTTTCCCATATGTTCATTTGCTTTCATCTGTGTTAAGTATAGAAAATTGAACAGCGTATATACATCAGAGAAGACATGTCAATGGAGAGTCCGAAAATAGATTGATGGAACTTCATGTGCCAATCACAAATTTATGGTTATGCATTAATAGCATTATTTCTCATGCGTAGCTGACCATTAAGACTTACTTTTTTGTCCCAGGTGTAGAACAATCATGTTTCATAATTGTTTATGATGAAAATGAAATAACCACCTCATCCATTAAATATCAGAGTTACAGATTAATTTGCGTAGATTGTCATCTACTGTCCCTTGTTTAAATTGACCTGCATATAATCACAAAATCAGTTGGTCCAGTTGGTAGAGATCATCCATGCACTCATTGTGATTCGCTCTATTCCACAGACAAATGATGTAAACCAATGGATACAAGTTGACCTCCGTGCTGCCTTTGAGGTCACAGGAGTCATCACACAAGGCAGAAACAGCCATGACCAGTGGGTCATGTCTTATCAAATCTCCTACAGCATCGATGGCAAGGACTGGACCTTGGTGAAAAACTGTGCGGACGGAGCAAAGGTGAGACTGTTTAAAACATCATTCAGGGAGAAAAGGAAAAGGAAGAGAGGGAGACATAGCAAGTGAGAGAAAATAAGGCAAAACTAGAAGGATACAAAGCAGAAAGAAAGACAGGGGAAAGAAGAATAAGAAGCCGCACACTTGTATACATTTATATTTCCATTCATCTAAGGAATGAAGATCAGTAGATGAAGCAAACTGCAAAATGAAATACATTACAAAAACTTCAAATCGCAGCTGTCCGGTATACCCCTACTCACATGCTACATTATGCAAGTTCCACTCAAAGAATTTAATTTAGAAAATTGAATTATAAAGAGTAGGGATTGAAATCGAATTACAATCTTTAAATTCAAAGCATTTATTCCCACTATCAATGTATGAACCACTTTGGAATGTTGTATATTGTACCAATTTTTTCTTTCAGTAATTACCGTACTGATTTGATTCGTTACATTACAGATCTTTCCTGGTAATTCTGATCGTGATAGCCGAGTTGAAAATGGAATCAGCCCACCTGTGACAGCTAGGTTCATCCGTCTTCATCCTGTAACTTGGGGCAACCATATCAGCTTGAGATGGGAACTCATTGGACAGGGTCCTATTACATGTAAGCTCAATATAAGATAGCGACCCAAGCATGAGAGACTCATTCCTTGTCCTCGTTATTGATGTGATCTTAACTCTTAGCTTGACTTTTAACATTTGTTGGTTTTAATTTTGAAGACTTATTAACACGTTTGCTTTCTTTCATTCACTTGTAAGGTTGAATGGCACTTACCATTTGTTGTACGCAGATACTTCTGTGATCCTCTTACTGCAATATATTTACACGTGATATATCATGCCTTCTTACAACCTCAGCGGTTTTCAAAGTCATATGTAAATTAGCGAACAACCAAAAAGCCATAATAAATAATTTTGCATGCATCTCACAGTGACGGGTTTGTCTGAAAAGCTTGGACTCGAGGACTACCGCATCACTGATGGCGCCATGACGGCTTCAACGCAGTATGATTCCAACCATGGCCCACGTCGAGCTCGGTTGAATCTTCCAGTGAGCGGAGCTCTTAAAGGCGGCTGGTCTGCACTCACCCTGGACCACAGTCAGTGGCTTCAAGTAGACCTCAGTGGGACCTATCGCGTGGCTGGAATCATCACCCAAGGACGGGCTGATGCTAACCAGTGGGTCACCAGCTATAGAGTGGCTCATAGCTTGAATGGAATTGACTTCAACACAATTCAAATTGCTGCCTCCCAGCAAGAAAAGGTACAGTTTCAAAATGGCCTTCACTCTTCATATTATCAAACAATGGAACATTTAATACAGATTATTGACTATTTACATTGTTAGAGCAAGGGGGAATATCACTGACATCACAATATCGTCACTCAAATAGTTCTTTAAAGCGATAATTAATTTCCAGTTACATGCTGCATACATATTTGTGGATACTTGATACTACAAATATCTGGAAAACTACCCCCAAATTACAACCCTAGACCCACTCACAAGGATCTGCTCCTTTTAGAATAATTTCCACTTGGACAACTACTTCATTGACAGCGACATATACTTTCTTTAGGAAAACGCTTTCCTCTGTGACTACCATCATATTGATATACACCCATTCCCCTCCTACCAGGATGTATTGTAGGGAGTGGGGTAGATGTCTAAGCATTATAGCTAGATCACTGATCCTTATACCTGCAGCCATACATTCAATATTTCGCAATTGTTTCATCCATTCCATTCAAAGTACTCTACACTTTGTTCTATTGATTTACGGATATACAAATGCCATTCTCCATAAACGACCATTTTGTACTTGACGTGTCTTTAGGTCTTCATAGGAAATAGTGACCGAACCACCCAAGTGACTCACTACTTTTCCCCTCCATTGACTACTCGTTTCATCCGAGTACTGCCCACTATGTGGTTTGGACACATCAGCCTGCGTATGGAACTCCTTGGAGCTGGACCTGTTGCAGGTGAGGGAATGAAGGTTTTATGAAACATGCTCTGATGAAAATAGCTCTTCGATCAATCAAAGACCTAACTTCAACCCTAAAAAAACCCAAAACCTAATACCTAGCATTCAGTAGTAGCTCGAAAACCACAAACCACAAATCAAGGAACGGCCGCACTTACCATTATAAGTAGACTGGTTCAAAATGCCTCCATATATATGTATTCACAGATGTTTTAAGCATGGACAGGTCTCCCCGAATAGCTTTTGACCCCCATTCAAAGGAATACATCTACCTGTAGAACATAGAATGTTTTGCCTCTGTATTGATGAGCAAACATCACGTAGTTGTCTCGGTGAGGGCCTTAACATTTCCTACAAATAGCATTTTTGCTAATGCCCAGATTGTAACTACAGACTGGCTTATTGGTTTGTCCATCTGATTGGGCCATTTACTCATATTTGCCTATTTGACCCCATCTTCCTACATTTTGCTTTACGCACTCATTATCTCACAGCCATCTTGAATGATCCTGTCCCTCTGGGCCTTGAGAGTTATGTTATCCAGGATTCAAGTCTGACAGCTTCCAGTGAGTTTAATGCTGACCATGGTGCAAAGAGAGGTCGTCTTAACCTGGCCCGAGTAGGGAACCTGCGCGGAGCCTGGTCTGCACTGGCAAACAATGCCAACCAGTGGATCCAGGTAAGAAAGGTTTCTTTAGCCCAATTCAGACACGAAACATTTAGGCAACCCTTATTTCTATAGCATGGGTTCATATCTCACTGCTGTTATCGTATAATTAATTAAAGGGCCTTCAGTCAATTTTTATACCATGGATTCGTATCCCACCGCTGCCACCATGTCAATAATAAGAGTCACCAGTCATGTCTATACCATGGATTCATTGGCTCCATTCACTAACATTGTTAAAATTATTATTATTGTCCACATTTTGAGGTGACCTTTGGGTTCGCAGATTTTCTCTCCTCTGTGTAAGTAAAGCTACTATAAGATTGCCATAGTCCTTTTTAAGGACATTATTGTTTTTTATCGACATTACTCAGAAATGAGATCAATGCATCATTCAAATTTTGCCGTTGTAGAAGCAGAACTGTTTGAAACCAAGGTAATATCATTGATAGGTGAAAAGAAAGTAGCCGTTTTTATTTTAAAAAAAAATCATATAGAGTTGACACATTTTGGAACATGCTCATTGGTTAAAAGATGATATATGAGGATAAACGCCAAAAATTCTTCATCCCATATTTTTCTTTTCTCCAAGGTGGATCTTTTGGACCCTTACCGCATCATTTCAATTGCGACTCAAGGGCGACAAGATGTAAGCCAGTGGGTTACAAGCTACAAGCTTGCTTGTAGTACTGATGGCACGACCTTTGCCACTGTGCAGGGCATCTGTACAAACCCTGGCGCTGACAGAGTAAGTTTGTGCTCTGTTTGATCATTTCTAGATATGACATTGACTCTTTTGTTGTAGAATTTTTAAAACATTTGATATCTTATTGAAAACATTCGAATATTTTTATGTTACAATAAAAAATAAATAAAGAGAAAGACAAAAGCTACCTGATGTTTTGTGTACTATTTACTATTCCGCGTACACAATGTAAAGGAGGAGAAAACTATTAGGTTGAATTAAAGAACTGTCTATATTTGTATATATATATTAGAGCAAGAAATGCACTTGAAGCAGACCTGATAAATCCATTACATTATGTTTTACATTCCATAACTAGGTCTCTTAAATTAATATTGATGTAACCAGACTATAATATTAAATAGAAATGAATGAATAGGTAATGTAGAAGCAAAACTAACATTTTATTAGCATGCTATATCAGATTCTCTTTGGTTCGATTGCAAACAATTCCAGAATCATTTGAGTCATAATTATTCAAAAGTGGGTTAATTTCCCTTTTTTCATTGAAGATCTTCAACGGTAATGTTGACCGCGATACCCTCGTGACCAACACTCTGCCTGTACCCCAGGTTTGCCGCTATGTCCGATTGATGCCTGTCAGCTGGTTCGGCCACATCAGTCTTCGTATGGAGCTCTACGGTGAAGGCCCTCTCACAGGTCAGTTTTAAAGGCAGAGATACTCTGACATTATTTTGCTCCATCAGTATTTTTTTCAGCGACAACTGATCTGGGCTTTATTTAATCAATGATAGAGGCATAGTGCTATGGTTATGACTGGGTTTCAGGATAGGGTTAGGTATAGTGCTTGTTAAGATTTGAAGTTAAGATTTCGGTTAACATATGATATATGACAATTGGTGTACATTAGTTTTGTAGAAGGCAATTGACCTGAGGCAGGGCTCCACATTATTCCTTTTAGAGAGGGTTGAGATTGAACTTTTGTGGATCTCTTTGCATTTACCCCCGTCCCCCCTGACATAGTTGTCTGTGGGGATACATCTCAAAGGGTACATCCTGCTAGTGAGTAAGTAGTCCAGGTGATGGTAGCTAGACAAAGGAATAGCAGTCTATGGGGATACATGTCCAAGGGTGAATCATCCTTGTGGGTAGGTTGTTTAGGGGATAGTAGACCAAGACAGGGTATTCTGTGGGGAAACATGTCCAAGTGTGCATCCTCGTAGTGTGTAGGTTTTCCACGGGATCATAGGCAAAATCAGAGTAGTCTGTAGGGATACATGTCAAACGGTGCATTGTCCTGGTGGGTAGGTTGTCCAGGGGAGGGGTTCTTGTGTGGATGTAGAACATTCATTTCCGAAAGAATTTTGAACTACTGCGAATCATAGCCGTAATCTACTTTGTAGTTTAACTAGTAAAGACTACTGTTTACAGTACAGGCAGTTTGTGGTCAATCTAGTTCATTATTCTTTCATTCATATGTATACGAACATTGAAAAATTGTAAATGTCTGTTTATTTTTTAGTGTGAATGATCAACATAGCAGACCTGATCAGAAGATTCAATTGATGGAATTATACCTGACGATGGATATCATTAGCAATTTCATTCCTTGATTTAATGGATACATAAAAATGAAGAATTTCGATGAACTTTAAACTATTAATTCTTATTCTTATTCTTATTCATTCAGCCCTTTCAAGAAATATAACGATGACACAATATAAACAAGATGATTAAAAAGTTAGCATGGCAACAGTTATACAAATACAAATTTTGGTAGCAACATTCTGAGTGTATCATTTGGCGGCCAGAGAAGAGAAGAGGAAACTTAACCACTGTAACCGTAAAGGTCCTTTCGCCCAACCAACTGATGCAATCAGAAGACTGGTAAAATATATAGCATAAGAACAAATAAAGGGAGTAACAAAATCAAGGATAAACAAAAATTAAAAATTAAAAATAAAGAAAAGAGAGGCAAGTGCGAATGTAACGCCAATATAGAAATTAAGTACACATTATATATGACATTAGGAAACTCACACATTCAATAATATAATAGCGTTGTCTCTCCATAAAATTACGATGTAACATATTTTAAGTTTTATGTTTTATACCTGGGTTTTCATTTTAATACCTAATTAATTGCTATAAAAATATTACATGTACATTAATAACTTTGAAATATGATGAAATTGTTCTCCATATTTATGTCGCGTGTTTGATTATTCACATATATATAACTGAAATTAAAATTATTTGAGGGTTTTATGGGGATATGTATTGTTTTCCAGTATGTTACTGTTATGCCATTTCTCTAAAGTTAGTCATTAAAGTACATTAAATAGATCCGTGTCCTTATATCGATGTCTAGATTTTATAGGGGAATGGTCGGGTCCTTGTGAACATAGAAAAAACAACGTACGTATAAGGCTATTCAAAGATCATATATATCTTGTGAATTGAATATGTGACAATAGTATTAACATCAGTCTTATTTATGATACATTAATGTAGGAGATATGATGTACCACCCAATATTAAGCAGTTTAAAGTGGATGAATTATTTGTTTGATTTTGATGTTGGTGTTTACAGCTTTTAAAATCATGGTATGCCAAGTTGACAGACATGGCCAAATCTTATTCATGGTACTGATAATTTGTCACATTGTTAGTGTCATCAAACCTCACTCACAATTGAGGGATAAAGCTAAATTAGTCTCTGTAATGTTTTTTTCTTCATTCTATATCTTATGTAATAGTCTATTGTGGAGGGTAAATGGCGTATATACTCCATATCGATTCCTTATCCTGTATTTTCCTTCTAATAAATTTACGTTTTAATGGAAGAGAGCAGACTTTATCCGTTTTCATTTGTTTTAGTACTTTAATTCCTTAGTCTTTAATCGAACATACACATAATATATTAAACATGTCAAATTCAGTAAGATGAGATATACACTTCCACATTATCCCTGTGAGATCTTAGGAATACATAGCTTCTTTATGGTTGATTGTTTTTTTTAAATTAAGAGAATTGTTTCTTACAATTGTTTAATATACAAGATAAATGGTGATGGATTGCCTTTAGGTTGGTTGTTGGTGATGGTGGTTAATCCCTGAACAAGCCGAAACATTCGGAACATATTGGCTATAACTTCACATACAACGAGATATCTTCATGATCTAAAATTTCAAACTTGGAATATCATAAGTGTAAGTGTGTCTTGTTGTACACTGTCTTAAACATGTAGGCATATGCAGGTGCAACCCAGTGCTATGGGCTAAACAAAAATATATGTGCAAAAGTGTGTGTGGGTGTGTGTGAATCACTCTCAAGAAATCATTAAAAACTCACAAAACTAATCGCAATAACACTGTTGGAAACAGAAATCACAAGTCATATGCTGATTTTTTGTTTGTTAAATAAGATATCTTAACAATGTACAAGGAAACTATTACAGTCTTACAAAATAAAAAAAACATTTAAACAGTATCATAATTTTGTATAATAATATTTGGACGCTAAAAAAGGTTGATGTCATAAATTGTATTTATATGTACATTCTGACTGCCTCAAAAGCCTGAAAATACCTTAGACACATTTTCTTGCAAAACTAGTACTCATCACAATGTTTATAAACTGAAGATAGAGTTCTCGTAACATTTCACTTAACATAGCTTGGTGAGAGAAGAGATTGAGCTGACCTAAAACTTCTATCAAAACTCAAAGATTGGTGAAGAAGAATGAAGGAACATGTTAGTCAATTGCATGAATCAACTTCATGGAAACAGATCTTGGGAAAGACAGATAAAAAGGAGAAGAAAAAAAATGAAACGCATGAAAATTTTGGAATGAAAAATTTGAAAAAACACGCGAAAACACGCTTTAGCAAACTTAAAGTTCTCGAAGATTGTAAATCAGGGATTAAATAACGGGACATTAAAACGTGCACAAATTAGCGCATTATCCTAAAGTATTGAGCTTTTGTCAGGAACTAATTTTTCTTTAACCAACTCTGGCACACAAATTATAGGAAGGGCGTAGTACTTAACTTCAAAAATTGTTTGATGCACTAATTCCCAATACAATCCCCATATAAAGTTTATAAATTACACTGAAATTTTGCCGGTAATTTAATATTTTTGTAATAAATGTGAAACTGGTGCCTGGCCTCCAAAATTCCCCGCAGTGGAAGAGCGGCTCGGAGCATGGAACTTCAAATCCAAATGGAATGTTACACATCCCATTGTTACGCTTTAGAACTCGTGTATGCGTTTGAATAAATTACAAGAGTTTCCACTCCTTTCTTTAACGTCCCTGGTCACAGTAATGCATAGAACTTCGAACTTATTTATTTTGAAGTCTTTGTAATCTAATGAGATTAGTTTTTGAGTAAATTTCCCAAACAGTACAACAATAATCAATGTGTGGCAATATTAGTTAGAAATAAAGACTGATAGTTGTTTTACGAGTTAAATAAGGCTTTTATTCTCCGGATTACCCCAATTACACGAGATATTTTACAAAAATACACATCTGACATGTTTAGACCAATTTAAACCTGGATCCAACTTCAACGAAGTCAATTTTTATGCCATTAAATTCAATTTCAAGTTTTCGTTTTCGTATTCTTTTCTTTGGACCAAACATCATTACCCTTGTGTTGTCTACATTCAAAATGAGCTTTATATTGACACGCGACCATTTACATAATAGGCTATGTCAAATTGATATTGCATTTTAATTCTAAGATCATTAACATTTCTACTTTTACAGAATAATACGGTATCATCAGCATACAATGGCATTTTAGCGTTATCAGACATTTCAATATTGCACAAATCATTAATGTATAAACAGAATAATAAAGGCCCTTGAGGTACTCCGCACTCTCTGATACAACCATTTATTAATACACATTGTTGTCTATTAAGCAAATATTCTAAATACCATTTTAATTCTACTGAGGAGACCCCGTAATATTTTAGTTTTTTAACAATCAATTTATGAGGAATAAAATCGAATGCCTTGCGTAGGTCTAAAAATATACTTCCAGTACAAAATCCAGAGTTTCTATTTTCCAATAAATAGTCATGTATGTCACATAAACTGGTGGATGTTGAATGAACTTTTCTGAATCCAGACTGGCATTGATCTAATAATGAAAACTGGGTAAAATACGTATGAACAGCTTTTTCAAATATTTATGATAAAATAGGCACAACTGATATAGGTCTGTAGTCATTTCCATTACTTTTAGATTGGTATAATTTTGGCAAGTTTAAAGTCAGCAGGTATTTCAGATGTGTGTTGGCTCAGTCGGTCATACCAAAAGACGCTAAAAGACGGGAGTTGCTGCTACCTCGTTTGGCGCTCAACAATAAGGGGATAGAGCAACGTCGATCTGGCGCTGCTCAGTGGCTGCCGGGCTCACGATCAATTGGGAAAAAGAATTTCCATTTTCGGTTTAATAAAATCTGGAGTGGATTTCAAATGATTAATAAATAATAATAAATTATTATACAGTTGTTTAGTCAATGGTTGAGAGATGACACCTGCAGCTAATTTTAATAGTTTAGGATGTATATTCACAATACCAGTAGATTTACCACAATCGATATTCCTTAATTCTTTTTTTCACATAATCAATTACTATATCTGTAAATTTAAACAGAAGATCATTATTCGATTTATTAAAAGTATCATTGTAATGCTTTTTATGCAAGTTATTTGCTCTATTTCGATAATTTGTAAACTTATCCCAATTTTCTAATCTTCGGGCTTTTTCAGAAAATGTTAATTTTTTTACTTTTCGCGTAATGTTTATCTTATCAAACTGTTTTTATTAAAATCCCGTTCCCTAGCCAGAGTAAGATATTCATCTGTTATCCATAGAGCCCCTTTAACTTTTTTCCTAACGTTTACAAAGGGAGCATGTTTGTCACATATACTAAGAAATAAACTTTTTAATTTGGTCCACATTTGCTCAACGACGTACTCATAAAGCTGCTTCCATTCAATATTAGGCAAATCATCAATACATTTATCATGTTCAAATGACTTAAAAGACCTAAAAATACTTATTCCTTGGGGAAAGCTTTAGCAAGACTCATTTTTAAAATAACATTTATCAAAGAATGATCACTAAGATCCTTAAAAATATGCTCTGGAGGGTAAAGTCTCTCCGAATCCTCTAGAAATAAAAATCAAATCAATTAAAGTACTACTGTGGGGGGTTACACGTGTAGGATAAGCTATTACCTGAGAAAGTTGGTAAAGATGACAAATTTCTTCAATTTTAATAGAATAAGTATTTCGAGTAAGCATTTTGCAGTTAAAATCCCCCATGATTATAAAATTATTTGATAGAGAAAAAACATTGTCTAGACTTCTTCAAAGATCTGGAAAAAAAAATCCATACCACTATCAGGTTTTCTGTAAAGTACACCAAGAAAATCGGAAAAATAATTCGGTTGTATTAGTTCAATCCACATACATTCAATATATTCACCTTCTAAACCAAATCGTCTTTTATAAGTTAAGCCTTCTCTAATGTAACATGTCACTCCGCCACCTGCGGATTTCCTATCTTTTCTTTCAAAAAAAGAATTGGAATGCTAAGTGACTGTAAGGAAGAAAAATCATCAAGCCAAGTCTCTGGTAGTGACAAAATATCATAAGGGTACTTTTGTACAAATATTTCAATACATTCTTTCTTATTTCTCAAAACTTCTTATATTAAGGTGGCTTAATTTCAAACCCTTTTTTAGAAGGAAAATCAAAAATATGTTCTCTGGCATGCAACACCTCTTCAGGTAATACACAATTATTTATATTTAAAATTTGGTAGCTGTTCCATCAGGCAGCGTCGGCATTGCCATTTTATAAAAGGTATACCAGAATCATAAATATGTTTAGATATGTTTGTACTTGAAATA